TCATGTTTTCTCATGGATAAGAGAAAACTTTGGTCGGATCTGATTATGGCTAAGAGTAAGTTTCCTCTTGGAGAATGGGTTGGGGTGATTTCAACGTTGTTAAGTCTACGGAAGAGAGGAAAGGGAAAAGTAAGACTAATTCAGCTGAGATGGATAATTTTAAAACTTTTTTAGATGTCATGGAGCTCATTGATTTACCTGTGGTGGGTAACAAATTTACTTGGTTCAACTCAAATGGTGGGTAAAGAAGCAGATTGGATAGAATCCTTATGTCTGAGGTACTGATTAGGGAATGGCGTGTAGTTGCGCAACAAGTTGGAAATCAGGACATCTCGGATCATAGACCAATTTGGTTGAAGTCTAATACACCAATTATAGGCCTAAACCTTTTAAGGTGTTTAGGTGATGGTTCGATCATCCTGGCTTCATGGATTTTGTTAGCGTAACTTGGAATTCTATTCATGTTTCGGGTAGTTATGGCGACACGCTTGCGTATAAATTTAGGTGTCTTAAGGAGAGGTTGAGATGGTGGAATAGGAATGTTTTTTGGTTGGGTGGATCTGAAAATTGAGGTTGAAGTGGGTACATGTTAGATCCCAAACTTTGCTTATTTGATCTATCAAATGTTGGCATCTTTCATTCTTTTTGTAGGTGAAAGTGATTAGAATCACTCATGTTTTAGATGATATGCTTCATTGTTGAAAAATGTCTTGGTTGCTTTGATTTGTGTGTTATTATGCAGGAATTAGACATAAAACAAAAGAAGAGTGAGGCACAAGAAATTGGGCAAGGAAACCAAGACAGCAGAAAATCATCAAGAAGTTCGTCGTGCGAATCTCCTAGCGAACTTCCCCAGAAAAATCATCACCAACTTTGCACAGCAAAGACTCTTGGGAGACTGGGTACTGTTCACTAACAAAGAAAAGAAACTGAAACTTGTTGTGTGAACTTGTAGTGAGATGGTTCGCAGTGCGAAGAATTGCTCGCACAACGAAGTTTAGATATTTCTCAAGGACAGATTAATTGTTCAGAGGCACCTCAGGTGCCTAATTTGATATTCGCTAGGCAAAGGATATGTTCGTAGCGTGAACAAGACAGATCCTGAATGTACTATATAAGTACTTTTCTTACTTTTTAGATAAAATATGTTATATTTTTTACCAGAACTTATCTCTCTTCATTTCAAGTTTATTTTAGAGAGAGAAATACAAAACCCTAAGAAGGAGGAGGTAAGATCTTCGATCTCTTGTTGGGGTTTGGATGTAATCTTTTGATACCTTATGTATTTCATCTAATATATGCTTGTGAACTAGTTTGAATTCTCTATTGATTGATTATCTTTGATTGCTTATTTGTGGATCTTGACAAAACCTTTTCACATCTTTGATCTAAGATTTTCATCTATCAATGAGTAAACTTTTGACACAGTTTTGTAAGTTGATATTCATTGTATCTTCTATTTTATTGTGTTGATTAAGTAGCATGAGTAGGATCAGTACGATATTATGTTGGTGCGTGATAATAGTGATTAAGAACGATGTTCACAACCATTTGGCAGATTAGGTGACTACATGTAAAAAGGGTTAAGCGTATGTACATATTCTGATCATTGTGTTTTATATAAAACAATCATTTATTTGATATGGGTGTCGTCTTTGTTGACCTGTTTATCTTTTATTTGAACTGTTATAGACATATACTCTTCAGATCTGGATCTAGGATTATTACCTGTTAGGTCATAAACTCTAGACATAGATTTAGGCTTAGCATTTACGTGACTATCAACTCTTAATGCTTTGTGTTGTGTTTTTGTTGCGTGAGACATCACCAATGAGACAATACAATTGTTCTCTCGACGTTGCATTAGAGATGACCTCTGTTGTGGGTGATACGTGAGGATATTTAACGATTGATTGAGTTGTGTTTAACATGATCAGAAGAATTCATGTGTTATCAATTGATGAGATCCAATCCCAACAAAGCTCCATTTATAATTCATTGTTTACTTTATATTTTCCATCTTTATACTTTCTGCCTTTTATTTATTGTTTCGTGAATCTTTTAACCAAAACTTTTGTATAACAAGCTTAGAAATGTAGAGACCGTTGAACGACATTCGTTCGCATCGATCCCTGTGGAGACGATATAAATTCCGGAGGGAATTCCTTCAAAACTAAGTTTTTGCTTCTTGTCGCTTTACTGCAGTTTGAACAATACATTGAATGGAATTGAAGCGGTTATGGCTAATCACAGTGGTGAAACGTAGGAAGAACAATTGTTGTTGAGAAGTAAGGCTCAAGGCGCAATATGGAACAACCTTCAGCTCAAAGAAAGCATGTTTAAGCAAAAATCGAGGATGAAATGGATAAATGAGGGTGATGTTAACTCGAGGTATTTCCGTGCCATGATGAACTCTAGAACGAGGAGAAATTATATCTCATTAGTAAAGGTAGGGTTAAGAATATTAGAGGATGTGTCTTTTGTGAAGAATACTATTAGGGAAGTCTTTGCTAATAGGTTCTAAAAAGAGGGCGGTAAGAGGTCTACTCTAGATATGTCTGGTTTTCCTATGCTCATGGTAAATGAAAGAGAGATGTTACATGAGTCATTCTTAGCTGAGGATATTTTTTAGGCCATTTGTGGGTGCGATGGGAACAAAAGCTCAGGCCCTGTTGGTTTCAACTTGGAGTTTTTGAAAAGGTGTTATGGGTGATTATGGAGGATGTGATTTGCTGCATTCAAGAGTTTTATCACGCTGCATCTCTTCCAAAGTCTTTGCTTTCATTTTTATTGCGCTGATTCTATAGAACATTAACCCCTAAGGCTAGGAAGAATACCGTCCTATCAGTCTTGTGGGTTGCATCTATAAGGTAATTTCGAAGATTTAGGCTTCTAGGTTAAGTAAAGTGATAGGTAGGTTGATTTCAAAGTCGTAAACGGCGTTTATTCTAGGGAGGCAAATTATTAGTGGAGTATTGGTGACTAATGAGTTAATTGACCTAGCTAAGAGGAAGAAACGAAGATGCTTAATGTTCAAGGTAGATTTTGTGCAAACATATTATTGTGTAGAGTGAGAACTTTTGAAAAAAGTTATGTTGGCTATAAATTTCAGTGATAAGTGGATGCAATGGCTTAAGGGTGGAGTCTTAAATAACTACTTGTCGGTTTTGGTGAATGGGAGTACTACTAAAGACTTCAAGGTTACAAGGGGTCTAAGACAAGATGACCCCTTGTCTGCTTTCTTGTTTTCTCTTCTGGAGGGGGGTTTGGCTTTATTGGTTAAAAAGGTTCTCAATAGAGGCATTTTTAGTGGATTTAGATTAAACGGGAATGATTTTGTCAGTGTTATCCAATTTATAGACGATACAATATTAGTTTGCGATGGATATTAGACTAATTTATGGAGAATTAAATCTATCCTAAGAGGTTTCAAATTAGTTTCGGATTTGAGAATTAACTTTTGGAAGAGTAGTCTTTATGGTGTGGGGGTTGAGGAAGCGTTCATGACCGCCGCTGCCGATTTCTTATCATGTAAAACAAGAAGTCAACCATTCAAATTCCTTGGTCTATTGGTTGGTGGAAATCATAGAAGGATCAATTTTTGGAACCCAGTTGTTAATTGTTTCAGGGCTATGATTTCTACTTGGAAAGGTAAGATGTTATCAATAGGAGGAAGGATAACTCTTATTATGTGCTTACTAATCTGCCAGTTCATCACCTATCATTCTATAAAGCGTCAGCAAAAGTGATCAAAGAATTGGTATCTATACAAAGATGCTTTCTGTGGTCTGGCTCGTCGGAGGCTTCGTCAATAGCTTGGGTTAGTTGGTCCACTGTCTGCAAACCAAAGAAAAATGGTGGAGTTGGGATTAAAGACATTTCTATCTTCAGTAGAGTTTTACTATCCAAATGGTTGTGGAGACTCATTCAAGATGATGATACAATTTGGAAGCCTGTGATGGTTCATAAGTATGGCTGTTATGGAAAAAGAATTCTATTAATGCAGGAGAATATCAATTACAGGTACCATTCACTTTGGTGGAGGGACCTTCTGCAGCTTTGTGATTCGATGAAGGTTGACTCTTTCTCGATGCAGTTGGCGTGCAAATTAGGTGATGGTTCGCGTATTTCGTTTTGGAATGCTCGTTGGCTAGATTCTTCTCCACTGCGATACAGGTTCTCAGAACTATTTGATTTCTCTGGGTTGAAAAGTAGTGTAGCGAAGGAAATGGGCGTATGGAGGAATAATATTTGGTAGTGAGATTTGGGTTTCCAGGAGGCACAGTTTGTTGGTAGGTTGGAGTCTCGGTGCAATGAGTTGTTGCAGCTGCTCATGGAGGTCAAGCCTAGGGAGGGAGTGGCAGACCTATTTCTTTGGCCAAGTCCATCTAATAATCAGTTTAAGTCCTGTTACGAGTTCATTCAACAGGTCGGTGGGTTTGGATCGTTAGAAATTGCTTTCAAGACTGTCCTAGATATTTTGTGGCAATCAATGCTTGCGATGAAGGTAAAAAAAATTGGTTGAAAATTGTTCTTGGATAATCTGGCAGCCAGGGCTAATTCCCACGATGTTGTTTGTATCTTTTATTGTAGAAACCTTAAATCATGTTATTATTTTATGTCCTAATATTTGTTTAATTTAGAAGGAAATTTCGGATTGGGTAGAGGTGCCTTGGAGTGAAAGTGATAATTGTTGATGGAGTGGTTTTTTTTGTTGGTTTGTAGAACGTCCAAGAAGACAGTTTCTCTAATATGGTTTTATACTTGTTAGTGTATTTGGTGGTTTTTCTGTAAGAGGACTGTGGTTTGGGAGTGTGTTTTAATGCTTAAAGGTTTGGTAATTGTAATGTAACTGTTTTAGAATACTAATATAGTTTTTGCTTATAAGAAAAATGGTTAAGGCAAGGAAAAAAAATAAGTCAAAAAGCAATATTCTAAATAGCCCAACATATATGAAACAAAAGTTTAAATTTTCATTGATGATTAATAAGCTGTCAAATTCAAGCCCAAAAAGACTCTCTTTTGAGAGGCTCAAAGTCTTGGAATACATTGGAAGATGAGGAAGAAGATGAAGATGCAAAGTTAATATACTGTGAAAGATCTCCATGGCAATTACTGTTTTCAGATAGGAGCATCAATCTCTCATCTTGGTCATTACATGCTGGTAATGTGTTGGTAACCGTAGTTGAGTCTTGCTGCATCTGAATGCAAAGAATCTCTGCTTGAGCCATTGCAAGTTGCATTTGTAATTGTGAAACTTGTGTTTGAAGATATGATATGGCTCCAACACATCCATATACAGGATCTCTCACTCTTGCATTGGCTTCATAAACTAAACTGTTCACTGTTTCTGCTCTTTGATCAATCGGAAGCTCCTGAAAATAAATATACAAGATTTATAACATACCAATACAACCAAAGCTTATGAATAATGTAATAATATCCATAGATATGAAACCTGGAGCATTTTGGTGACATTGCTAGCACCGAAAACCTTATGAACAATGGCAAACTTGCGTAGGTCATCAGAAGGAAAATAAGGAGCAAAGATACATTCTTGTGTGCAACGCCTTCTCAATAATTTGCAACAAGCACAAGGTGAAGAACCTGATCCCATTTCAAAGATTTGAACACAAACAAAATCAAAATGATGTCAATCCTTTGTGTGTTAAGAGAATGAACCTAAAATTTGTATTTATAATAAGGCCAGTAAGATTTCAAGATGTTTTCCCAAAGTAGAATATTATTATTATTGTTATTAGCTAGATGCACATGTTCTTCTTGTAAAGTATGAGCTGATAATAATATATTAACATCCTATTCTATTCTACGCAGTATCGCTGCTTTTGAAAAAATACGTGTCTGTATTAGATATTTTTAGAAAAAAATATATGTGTCGATATCAGACACTTAAATCCGATATTTATGATTACGTTTAATTTATTTATTTTTATAAAATAATTATCCGATATTTATGATTACGTTTAATTTATTTATTTTTATAAAATAATTATTTATATGACCGTATTAATATTGGAGTTATATTTGAGATGTCCGTATTTTGTTTCACTAAAAAAAAATTAAAGAAACTGTATAGTCTTCTTTAATTAATAGAGATTATATATAATATACTTGACATATTAAATTAAATAATATTTTGGCGGTGGTCAAACAATGTCTAGGCGTGTGTTGGGTTGGCAATTCACGCAGTTGTGTAGATTTTACGTACACATTGACTTCTAAATTTTATATGCAAATTACACATGCATAACGTATAGTATACTTAAATACATTTAATTTGAAGTTTCACACACAAATTGCAATTAAGCTCTAATACAGCTGTAAGCATTGATGGAAAGTATAAAAATGATTTAATTAATTCTTTGCTTTAAGTAAATGGAATCCTAACCTTGAGACTAGGGTTCAACAACGTGAATGTTTGTAGGTTTGGGCGTTCACATAGAAACCATATATTTCATCTATACTTGTGTTATGTTCAATGAACTAGTATTTTTCTTCAACTTAAGGTGTATATAAAAATAATAAGTCATTTCTAACTTATATGAATTCAGCATTCCTTGTTGAGAGTGAAGAGCTCAACTCCTTTCTCATTAGCAACAATGTCTATTAATAGGTTGCAATGCAAACTTAATAGAAATTATAGCCCAAAATTTAATTGTACTAAATATCTTGCTTGCATGGCAAGTTGTCTAAAAATTAGTTTAATGAATTCTCCCATAAACTGAATTATCATTAGCCAGTTTAGCAATTTCAGTTTGCATATCTTAAATTTGATGAACTAAACCGAACCATATTAGTAGTTTAATGTAGTTTTTAAACCACTTTAATAAGAAAATGGTTAATCTATTAAAGTAGTTATAATTTAATATCAGTTCATATTCTTAAACCAGTTTAATTTATTTAAACAATTTGAAACCAATTTTTTTAAACAAATGGAATTTTTTTTTATTGAATTTCAAAATGATTTTACTTTTTAATATTTTCTAAAAATCAATTATTATTTTTTTTTAATAAAATTGAATTCAAATCCTGTTTTTATTTCAAACTGCTTCACAATGTTAAACATAATAAATTGTTTTTTAGAAAATATAACTTACGACGTTAATATAAAAACTCATAAATTGGTTTAAACTATTTTTAAAATTTTGAAAAATATTTTTTCACAACTAATAACTAGTTTTAACAGTTTTATAAATTCTTTTTTAAAAATAATTTTATAAACTGTTCTGAACTGGATTGGCATATGGCCCATAGTTGGTAAGGCCCAATTCAGTCTAACTTTAGGCAAGACCCAATAAGGAGATTAAGACAATCTAGTTGTTGGGCAAAATATAGTCGTTGGGCACAATATAGCCGTTAGAGAATATAGTTGTTGGGAACAACCCCCTCACGTGCTTGACAGTTCACGCGATCAACTGCCCCTCCGGAGTTCATGGGGACAGTTGGATCAGGTCAAAGATCATACGTTAGATCTTTCACCTGGCAGTCTCCTATTGGTCGACCGGATATTTCGGCCACATTGGAGATCTTGGCCCCCGCGCTAGGGGATTCTTATAACAACCCTCTCACTTGAGAGAGTCAAGTATTCAAATCATTCTAACTCATACCTAAACACTTGTATTTGCTCTCTCTTTAGCCCAAACTTACTTTGGCATCGGAGTACCTTGCAGGTACACCCCCTCATATTCTACAACCATTGTTGTTACCCTACACTGAAGGTCACGATGATCCATTCTGATCACTCCAAATCAATGGCGTCGTCTGTGGTAACCCAGCCCCCCCCCCCCCCACCTTTTTGAACCAAGATCCTCTATCTTTTCAAACAAAGACCAAATTTTTTTTCTCTCTAAACCTTCATCGTCATGACCACTCATCATAACAATGACATCCATCAAAATTTTATCGCCGTCATCACCTTGGGTAACGGAAAAACCCCCCAATCCTAGAGTTGCAATCTGCGAGGCCGATCACATGGATGGAAAGACTGCCTCTCCATCCTCCGATAACGTGAAGCCCCGCGTCCAGAGCTCTGATCACATCTTCGAGCCAATTCTCGTCCCTCAAGATGCTGATCCCTACACTACAACTCTCATCGCCGCCCTCAACAAATCCAACAACATAATTTTCCAACAAGGCGAGAAGATCCACATGCTGGAAAACATCCTCGAAGAACGGCCTCCCCCGCAGAGACCTCTTAGTCCTTCTCCCCGTTCTCGTTCTCCTCCTCATAAACATCGGGGAGACGTGTCTCGAAGTATCTCCCCAATCAAGGAACGATCAAAGTCGAAGAAACCTGGGCATGAGATCACAATATGACGAAATTGTACCCCTCCCCGGAGGTCTAGGCATTCTCCAGCACCCAAGAGGACCAGGCCTTCAGAAAAGCCTCGCGAACACTGTAGTCGGTACAGGCATTCTCCTCGACGCAGTAGGAGCCACATATGTAGTCATTCTCCGAGCAGTTCATCAAGCACGAGCGACGAGGATGACGTCCATGGACCTCTATCCCACGAGATCATGGATACTCTATTCCTCGTGAGCTGGAGAAGCCTCCCCCTCTGACTCTCTATGATGGTACCACAGATCCTAGCGACCATATAGAGAACATTGAAGTCATGCTTCATTACCATAACATAAGTGGAGCGATCAAGCGCATGTTATTCCCCACCACCCTTAGAAAGGGAGCTATGACCTGGTATAAGAATCTTCCCTGGGGCTCGATCACCTCGTGGATGAGCTTGAAAGATCAATTTTCCCGACATTTCACTACCTCCAGGCGTCACTCAAAGTCGGAAGATATGCTCGAAGACATAATACAGAGTAAGGATGAGCCCCTCTGTGACTACATCGAAAGGTTTAAAAAGGAAGCAGTCGAGATCCACACGACTGACCACATGATGAAGTATCTTCTAGAAAAGGAACTAAGGCCGAAGAGTGACTTCCGAAAAGCAGTGGCGATTAAACCGCCTCGTTCTCTGGCCTAACTCCCCCGCAAGGCACAATCTTACATCTAATACCAGGAAAAAGAAGTCGCATACAAAGCCAGAGATTCGATGGACCAAGAGAATTCTAGAGCGTCGAAGAAGAACGAGGCAGAAGCTCCTCGGTGCGACAGAGAAAGGCAACAAGATGGCCGTCCGCGAGATCATAAAGGACATGCTGGTCATTTTACTGAATATACCCTACTGATAACTCCCTGTGAGAGTATCCTTTCTGAGTGTATCAACACCGAGTTCAAACAAGGAGGGGTACGATTCCCTAAACTGGCAGCACCAAAGAGCAACACCGATCGAAGCAAGTATTGCCGCTTTCATCGCAGTCATGGCCATATTACAGAAGATTGTGTCCATCTAAAGGACACCATCGAAATCCTTATCAAGGAGGGTCACTTGAAGCAGTACACGAAGAAGGGAGAAGCCCCCCGACGAGAGACGTCCAAGTCTAAAAAGACAGAAACAAGAGCTTCGCCTTCTAGTCCTCCCCCTCAAGTTGCCATGTCTGTTTCACGGCCAGAGGACTTCTTTGTCCCCGACTATCTCGAGAATCCTCCATATTTTTCCATGCACAGCTCCTGGGAGGCCTTCCCTAATACAATAGTCATCTCTTATGGCAGGTATAGCTAGCTCACTGTAGGATCAGTTGAGAGGAAATTCGATCAGTTGATTGGATGCAGCCCAGACCGACTATCAACACTTGAGAAGTTCCGAGGATGATCTCAACCCATCACCTTTTATCCTAAATAGCTCCCTTGAGGCTCCCCAAACACACACATCCCTCTACTCATAAAAGCCAGACTGACCAATACAAATATCCGCCAAATCCTTGTCGATTAGGGGAGTTCGATATACATCATGTACACCATCTTGTTTCGCGCCCTTAAGCTCAATGAGAAGAGCTTGTCTCCCTACGTTGGCTCAAACTTGCAGGGATCCAATGGGGCTACTGCTAGGCCTTAGGGATACGCGGAACTCTTAGTCGTCTTCGGGGAGGAAGAGGCCTCCAAAATGATTGAGACACAATTTCTAGTCATCGACTGTCCCTTTTTGTATCAGTGTATCCTGGGGAGGCCAACCCTTGTTTAGCTTATCATCGTTCCATCTACAGTTCATCTCAAGATGAAATACTACACCGAGAAGGGTCACGTCGCCACCTTGCATAAAGACATCGAAGCTGCAAGACAATGTTTCGAGGCAACTACCAAGGGGCAGAGTTGGATTGGCACAACACCACAAGCCGTCAAACGAGCAAGAGACGGAGAACTTCCTAGTGAAGAGAGCCAGCCCGATAAGAAGCCAGCACTCCAAGTCCACACCATTGACCTCGACAGCCGAATCTTAGAAGAGGGCGAAGAGAACAACAGCAAAGACACTCTAGCATCGACGGGTAGCTCTCCTACTACAACTGTCATGTGCCCAGTACCAGACAGGGTCTTTGAAGTGATCAATTTTGGGGACAATCCCAACAGAAGAGTCAGGATAGGTGTAGGACTGCCCGAAGAGGTGAAAGAGCAGCTGAAGAAATGCCTAAGAGACAACACAAATTTATTTTCCAGGAGCGCCGCAGACATACCCGGCCTTGATCCCGAGATTGCTTTCC